ATGGTAGCATGTACTTTTTTATGTACTACATATTGTCAATTTTGTGCAATTATATAGTAATCTAGGAGCAATTTAAATCTTTACTAATAACCAATTATTTGGTATAATTCAAAATTTTCACAGTCCGACCTTTTTTTTAGTTAGAATCGTTAATCCGTTTTATCTTATTATACTATATTTTCGGATCGGTATAATAGAAAAAAAAAATTTGATAGTTCCAGAAATATTTAAACATTAAAATTTCTAGTTAGTTCGCACCGGTGGTTCGGTCTCAGTCATTATTATTAGTCAAATTATTTTAAATTTTCAATCCGGTGTGGTCCAAAAAAAAAATTTAGCAACCAGTTCGATCCAACGTTGGTCCTCTATTAACATTTTCAGTCCTGTCCGGTCCCTAACATTATGAACCATTCAGAGCACTACTGTCGACCCATTCAACTCAAATAATACTATAATTATCATCTGCGGATTAGAATTTTCATTATCGATCGTAAATTAATATGTAATAAATATACAAATATTTTATATAGATACAGAAATAAATAAATAAATAAATAAATAAATAAAAGTTTAGCTTGGAGTATTATTATATTTATAAAAACTATAAATAACTAAAAAGTAAACAAAAAAATCTCCTTTTTTTTTAAAATGCTGATATATGTACATAAACTTAAATGTAACTAAAAAAAGTTTTATACAGGCAAGACAAATATAAATTTTAAAATATGATGTAAAGAACATATTTCTGAAATAAATTTATAAAAGAACTAATTCAAATTTTGCTTAATATGTTTTAGAAAACAATCATAATAATACTATGTATATTATACATTTTGACTTAGAAATATTAAATACCCAAAAGAACATTTATATTAATTAAGTTTTAGAAAATTTATACATACCCATTGAAATAAAAAATAATAATTATAATAATATTTTAAATGTACAAACCGATTTTAAAATTGATAACTTATATCAATGCACAATAAATTATAACCAAAGACTTTTATTTCTTAATATATCTATGCCTAATAAGAACTAATTTTAAATAATCTTCACAGTAAAAAATAAATTATCTTTATGTTAAAGTCACTAATTTTTCTCTTTATATTCCTTCCTTTAATTTTTCATAATCAGTTATTTATTATTTCAAATTCTGTCGCAATTTTATTAATTTTATACATACCTGATGAATAATTAAGGTATTTCCTTATGGACAAACTAAGCTTTTATTTATTCAATTATTTCTATATATAGGTACACTATTTATTTATTTATATAGGTATCTATTTAAAATATTACTAATCAAAATTGTTTACCACTGTAATTTATGATTTTTTTTTATATTTCTATATTTTCATGTGAAAATAAATAAAATCAATAAATATACAAAAAGGAATGATATGTAATAATTAACGGGAAAATTACGTAAGTATAAAATATTTAATCATTGCCGGATAAATCCCAAAGTAGTCCAGTATTAGTCTTAGTTAATTTTATAATACATAGCTTCTTTTTTTCCATAAGTTCTGATAAACAAAACATTCTAAATTAAAATTCTAATCCAAACGTTAGATGTATGGCTTATAACAGTGTACAAGAGAAGCCACTTGGCATCAGTTTCAAGGGAATCAACAATTAATTATTATTCATGAGTCCGATAAACTTTTAGCACTTCACTCGCATAATAGCCAAACATTTTTCGTGATATCCTTTGTTCGATATACATATTTCTGTAATATTTTTTTCTTTCAAAACTCTTAGAAAAAGTCAGTTCTATACGTCTTATACGTTTTATACGTCTTTAACGATAGTAAAAATTACAAGCGCGACTAAAAATAAAAAGCTGGTGTATTTACATTTTTATTGAAAATTGCAGTTACTCGCGCTACTTGCCAGTCCAAGTTTTGCCACGTACCACATAAAACTGTACCTAAGCACTACTGATTAATATAAGAAATAAATCTTTCACGAACTGGTAATTTTTCAACAGATTTCGGTAAAACGATACCATCACACGTAACAGGAGTACCTAGTATTAAACGTAGTCGCTCGTGGTTGTTTTAACGTTATTGTTCGCGCCGATGTGTTTCGAGCAATCGCGGCGGCGCTCATTAAAATTATGCTTTTGCGACATGTGCGACGCGCACGTCACCGACAGCGCATCTTATCTGATCCTTTTTTTTCTTAATTAATTTATTTTTACGTTTTGTTATTTGAAATTATTATAATGATGTGTTTATAACTCGTGTGCCGTGAATTGTGTAACGCCGACGATGTATCAATCATTTTTGCTATATCTATCTTTATTATCGTTTGTTCGTCGATTGTTGCACCACATTCTTCTTCCGTTTTTTTCTCGGTCGTTAATAACCTAACCTAACCACGTTAATTGTTCATTACAGCCGCTCTCAAATGGGATTATTTTTTTTTTTTTATAGTATTTTTCGCGTTTCTCTCATATCACTTATGTTGTTGTATACTATTGCGATTCAATATTACTTGCTCATTATTATTGCTCGTTCGGCAACTCATCGTTAACATTATTAGTATTATTATATTGAATCGAAAATTAAGTGTTTCTTATTACCAGCAATACACGTGAGTAATTTTTCATAATACTTGTGAATCGTTTTCCTTGTCTAACCCGTGTATCGCTGTACAATCGTCGCCGTTGAGACGGCATCGTAAACGTCATTGGTGGATTGCGATCATCATCCGCCCGAGATCGGAATTGATATCCGTTCCCAGTGTTTGCAGCGCATAAGACCCCCGGCACCCAGCGTAGTGTGTGCGAGGCCGCCCAGGTCGTCTAGATCTCCTCACCACTGATATTGTTTTAGGTACCGTTCCCGTCTAGTAGACGTCAAGCATTTTAAGCTTAGCTAGTAAGTGTGTTTGATCGTCTATTCTCCACTTAATTATGTATAACATTTTTCTACTAAAACTTCAATAGCTTCGCCCACTCGTGCCTAACGATGATACAAATAAAGACGCACCCATAGGTACTCCGACGGCCAGCGGCAGCCGCCGGAAATACCAATTCTACTACCGTACTGCATTGGTTGTTTTTAAATAATAATGTATATTTATTTCGGCTTACAACGTATTTTTAATGTCATAATAAATTAATCAATATTTTAAACAAAAATACATCAAATGTTCAATTTGTTATAGACAGTTTTTTAATTAATTATTTAAAACTTTTTACGAGAAAATGAAAACGTTCAACCAAAATCATCAACATTAGAAGAAATACACGCTGCCACCCATTCAAATAAATCACACGATCCCGTGTCAATAACAAATTAAAATTTGATCGAACAGTTTATACCAAAAAAAAGAGTTTATTTTACCTAAAACCAATGGAAGGTCTTGTCAATCAAAATGGTTTGACAAACATTCCTGGCTTCATTATGTGAATGAAAAATATACGGTTTTATGTTACCCTTGTGCTTTAAAATTGTTAAACCAATAAAAGAAAAACCACATTACATTCACGAGATGCATTTATTGACATTGGTTTTCAAAATTGAAAAAAAGCAATTGAAAGGTTTTCCTTCTTTACTTTACTTTACCTTCCTCTGTATTTGTAGATGTGCTCAGCCCCCACGGTTCAAAAATTGTCCCGGTGTCACTATAAATAGGTATTATTGTCTTTATTACTCATCGACGGACTATCTATAAACTTTGTATATTGAAGATAATGGGAAATTAAAATACACTATGTACTATTATTATACTATTTACTATTAAACTGTTGAGTATGTAGAAATTTCAATGGGGGGGTCCGGATCCGACCCCCCATCCATGGGTACGCCCTTGCCATAGAGTAATATTACTCTACGCATTGTACAATATTATTGATATGGAATTTATCGGGCGTCGCTAGTGTGCTGAAGTGCTTCTTAACATACATGCACTACCTGTTAATCACAGATCGGGAATTATTTGTTTTTAAACCGTTTTAAAACAGTTTAAAACAATTAAATAAAAACAAGATATTCAAAAAAGAAATAATCATAAAAAAACGGATTTAAACAAAGAAAACCGTTTTTGCTTTTATAGAAAAAAACATAAACCATCTCTTGTAGTCACCTAATTAAAAAGGTCGATAACGCAATAAGAGGAATATTATTTATTTCCCATTTGACATTTCCTACTCTACTCGTATTATCGATATTGCGTATGCAATGCACCGTAATTCCGATGTATGGATGGTTAACCATTTTTGCAATCCCTACATACGGAGGTACACTTGGAAGAGAGAAATCGGCGGCGGCGGCGACGATTTACAGTGGGTGTCATAAATCGTTAACGTGAGACAACCGAACCGTTCGTCGGCGGCACGAGGCAGTTGCGGAAGACGCCACGCGTGTCGTTGCCGCACCCCGTCGGTCGCCCCAGCTATTGGCGAACGATTTATCGTTGGTGACGACGTGGCGGAGGCGGTATCTTGTGGTGCAACCGAATACCAGTTGAGTGGTCCTCGTGTGCCGTGGAGGCAAAACCGCGAAAAACAGCCGCGTCGCGCGTTATCTCTGCGCGTGCGACATATCATTTAGATAACGGTCAACGACTGCGAAACAACACACATTTTTCTGACGGCGACGGTCCGTGACTGACCATTGTCGACTGTATCCACGTTTTAATCTACCACCGTTGTCTCCACCGAATAATGTCCGCCATCGTCTCATCGGCCTCGATCGAACGCACCGAGTAAGTAGACCGATTGTGTTCGTGCACAAACGCGCCCATTCGCGTAACACTCGTTTCGCGATCGCAAACAATACTATTTTACTTCCGGTCACGTGCTGCTGACGGAACGTGCCGCGCGCCGACATTTTTTACCGATTGGTATTAAACTAGTCGCCGTTTCTGGTAGTTACGAATCGCGTTGCTCGAAAACGTTTTAAAGATTTTTCGCTTAGTGTTTTGCGGTTTTTCTTTTTAATTTTTTTTTTTCGTTTTTTTTTTTTTTTTT